CGAACACACCGACATGAGAAATAGGAACCATAAAGCTAAAAACTGAGATTATGAAACAAGCTGAAGGAGTACATAACCATGGAGGTTAGAAGGGCTTAAGGAGTATTCATATGGCTGTGACGTTGTTTCTTCCACTACACAGTTACAGTTTGTGAACAAATGTGAGATTGATTTTAGTTTAGCGAGTTAGCCTCTGAATTATGTCCCCGCCACTCTCTCACTTCGTCCCAGCTTACCCTTATACACTACCAAATGTAAAATCGATAGCTAGTGGGAAGCAGCCAAATAGCACAGGGAGATCAGCTCGGTGCTTTGTGTCCACCTAGAGGGGTGGGTTAGGGAGGGTGGGAGGGAGACGCAAGAGGGAGGGGATATGGGGATATATGTATATGTATAGCTGATTCACTTTGTTATAAAGCAGAAACCAACACACCACTGTAAAGCAATTATACTCCAATAAAGGTGTTAAAAAAAAAATAGCCTCTGAATTAGAAGACAAATAAGTAGGAAGGCATGTTTTCCAAACAGAATTGGCTAAAATGTCCTTACAGCAGTGTTAATGTGCATCACGACGATGGCTTCTTTGTTTGGTAATGAACTTTATACACTGGAGGAAAGGGCTGCCCTCCTCCTTCAGAAGTTGCCCCACCTCTGTCTGCAGTTCCTCACGCTACACCCATCCCAAGCTCTGTGTTCTACATTATGTTTTCTGGAGTAAGCAACTGCCAGTTAAAGTAGAAAGATCTGAGCTGCAGAGGAAAGCTCTGGGCAACACTGAAGCTTCCAAATTTTAGGACTTCCTTTATTTCAGCAAATCTTTGTAGGGGAAATTTCCAGGGGGCTATTCATAAACAAAATGACAACTGTACAGTGAAGCTACTAACAAACATAAATGGTTCGTTTTCTTTAGGATGAGATTCTATCCTGATAGTACGTTAATTTGCAAATGCATGACAACAAAACAGTGAACCACTCCTACGAGTTACTATGCCAGGCAAAATACTGTTGCTTTATTTCTATAGTTTTTTCACTCTTTTTAGGGTGTAACGCATCAAGTATACAACAGATTCCAGCACAAGCCTGTCTGATATCACAACTTACACACTATTCATCATGCTGTTTCTATGAACATATATCTTATATTTAGACAAATCTAAGGCTCTCTGCTTTTCCAACCTCTTTTTTTGGAGGCGTCTTTTTGTTTGTTTTCTTTTGTTTTTAAGAAATATGCTATCTGGCTATTATAAAAAAGCCAAGAGATCTAACACAACATTGTAAATCAACTATACTTCAATAAAGTTTTTTTTAAAAGAGATAAATTCTGGTTAGAATGTAGAGAAAGGGGAACAATTGTACACTATTAGTGGGAATGCAAACTGGTACAGCTACTATGGAAAACAGTATGGAGAGTCCTCAGGAAATTAAAAATAGAACTACCATATCCAGCAATCCCACCTCTGGGTCTATACCCAAAGGAAACAAGATATCTAGAAGCAATGCTTGTATTTCCATGTTCACTACAGCATTGTTTACAAGAGCCAAGGCATGGAAACAACGTAAGTGCCCACCAATGGAGGAATGAATGAGGAAAATGTGGTATATATATATATACATATATAGTAGAATATCATTGAGTCTTAAAAAAGAAGGAAATACTGTCATTTACAACAATATGGATGAACCCGGAGACCATTAAGCTACGTAAAATAAGCCAGACAGAGAAGGACAATTACTCCATGGTATCACTTATATGTCGAGTCTTAAAACAACGTTGAATTCATAGAATCAGAGTAGGAGAGTGATTGCCAGGAATTTCGGGGTATGGGAAATAGGGAGAGGTTGGTAAAACGTATAAACTTTAGGCTGTAAGATGAATAAGGTCTGAGGATCTAATGTGTAACATGGTGACTGTAGTCGATAACACAATTGTGTAATTGAAATTTGCTAAAGGAATAGAACTTGAATGTTCTCATCAAAAAAAAAAAAGAGAGAGATAAATGTGGATATGCTAATTAAGTTGATGGGGCAAATCCTTTCACAATATAGAGGCATAGCAAATCATCACATACACTTTAAATTTGTCACAATTTCATCTGTCAGTTATACCTCAATGAAGCTGAAAAACAAAAAAAATAAGCCCACCCTGGGTGATTGGAAGGAAAAAGAAAGAAATAACTGCTCTCCACACGTGGACCCTCTTAGTTACCCTGCTGAGTCATCACTATTATTTCTGACTGGTGTCTATAACAAGTAATGAAGAGTAAGCCTGTCTTAGATAACATTTTTTTCCCTTAGAAGACATCCTAATGTTATCTCTATATCGAGAATAGCTTGTACCTTTCCCAACTATTAAGCAACAAGGTATTAGGGCATCTGTTTTTGGAAAGACTGAGCAAATCTATAAAATATGACAGCCTTAAAACACACATCTATAAAACTCTGTCTTATAGGTATGCATGAAATAAACACTGCAAAAGCAAAAAATAATACTTATGATAAAATGGAACATTTAAGTCTATTTGATGAGTATGGTTCCAATTCTGAACCTTTAGGCTGTATCTTCACAACACAAAGGGAAAGTCAGGTTATTTCATCAAAAGAAACAGTAAATATAAATAATTTGGTTCCTCTTCATAAAGGTCTCTAAAACTGACAAGAATAACCCTCTACTATTATAACATATTTGCTCTGTTTTTTAACCCAATAAATGTTCAACATGAGTCTATTGTTTAAATTTGCTTGCCAATTTTTTTATGGCTATGTGGACTCACTTTTTGCTAGACAAATAGCAGAATTTATTTGTTCATTTATTTAACCAGTATTAGTTAATAATATGACATTATTTATGTATTCACTAACCGAGGGCCTATTGTCTCCTCACTTTACAGGAAATGAAGTTGAATACATTTTTCCTGACTTAAGGAGTTAATAGTCCTTCAGAGATCAAAAGGAAAAGACACAAAAATAGTTGCATCACAGTCAAGTAGCGATCTGGTTTAGCAAACAAACATGATAGAGCTGAAAGACCTGGATGGAAAAGGGGGCACAGGGTGAGTGGGAGTAGCTCAGAGTAAGAGGCCCTGATTACAGACGAGAGATGGAGGTTCGAGGCAAGTAGCGGAGACAAAGACGCTGCTGAAAACTGGTGGGATCTGGTCCCAGCAACGGTGCTTTGGGCTCGCCGCTGTGAAGAGCAGGCAGGAGGACGAGAGAAGATTATGTGAGAAATTACGCAGTATTTTGTTCTAATCCTCAAATAGCCTGTAAGAAAGTTCTTACTCCTTTTCTATGTCCCCCACGTGTTTTCAGCTTGATACAATTAAGTAACTACTGATGGGACCTAGAGAAGTGTAGCATCTGATATTTGGGAGGCATTCAATGTTCATTAAAGAACAGATACATTAATGGTACTGCCCGAGTTGGGACACATATGTAGCCTTCATGCAAATGAGAAAAAAAATCCCTGCATTAGTTGTCCTAAAATGCAAGATGGAGTTGGGAATGTTTCCCACAGGCCGAAACACCTCGATGGTGGTGTTTCGGGAATAGCATAATGGTGCCATGAAAGATAAAACAGGGTACAGGGAAGAGTATAGAGACCAAATAGATCCCCTGAAAGTTTCACCTTGAGAAAATGAAATTTCTCACTCCTGTTAAGTGAAGTGCTTAGATAAACTAGTCATATTTTCAAATGATGAGGGCTACCCTTGTGTCCTGAGTGATATACAGTTGTCTGTCCTTTACTTCAGAGCTGTCTTCTAGTGATCTATACTATATTAGACATACAGCCATTTAGGTGAACTAAAGTCACTGCAAGTGAATTTTGGACTTGATTTCAAAATCTTTAATTATCCAAAATATCTACAAACTCTCTAAAAATAAAATCAAGTACTCAGGGCTAAAGACATGGTTCTATAAAAAATAAATAACATTCTCCTTACAATTAATATATTATATTCTTATATTAATTAATATAAAAAATAGGTTTCATAATTTAAATGCAATATACAATTGCTTTTGTCACACACTATGCTACTCCTAGGAATAGAGGAAAACATATTTAAAATCATTCTTTCTCTGGTCTGAGGTATTCCCTGAAAAACTCTACTGTGTTCTAACCATTGCTATTAGGCTTTTAATCCAAATCTTATATTATTCCTTAAGAAAAATATAAGTATCTCAAGAAAAAAGGTACCAAAAAAAAACCCATTAAGCTTTCTTTCTCCCCCCTAAAGTATCATTTCAGCATGTGGTGTTTCAAAAAGGGTACAAATCTAATATGCTAAAACATTAATAAGCAAGTGGACTGTACCAAATGTCTTCTAAAAGCTGAGGGGTAATTGCATCACACATGGCTCAGGGCATCTACTAATCACCCTCCACAGACATATTTGTCCCTAACGCCCAACTCATCCTGGATGGCAGCCCCACCTCAAGCCTCCCTTCTCTGTTCCTTTCACTCTTTTCTGTCCCTTCTTTCTCTTCCTGGCCCTCTCCTTGCCCTTTCTTTGTGTCGCATAATCTTTTCCGGGAGCTCCGCTTTTTACAATTCTCTGCTCCACACATCACAAAATTAGCACAAGAGAAAAAACAAAGATTCTTCTCAGGAAATTGCAAGGAAAAAAAATCTATGAACAGTTAAATATTTTTGAATGCTTCTACACATAAGCATATTAGGAAAAAAATGTCGCTCCAGAATATTAATTGCATAAATCCTTTTCCCAGGTGGTATCCAATTAGTCGTTCAGAGTGAGTACGTTAATTCTCCCAAGTCTGTAAGTTTCAATGCAATATAAAGACGAAATTTGAATTTTGCAAAATTACAAAGCCATTGAAATCACTGATTCAACAAAACCCTGAAATTTGAATATTTAATACTAGGAGAGAGCTTGCATTTTTTTCCCCTGAGAGTTACTCCTTATTCTTCACTTATAATTTCTACCACTATCCTCCAGTTAAAATCTTCTCAATTAAAAATATTAAATTGGGTGTAATCTTACCATTGTTGTCTCTTGAATAGATCCAAAACTGTTGATAAAAATGTTGACAACGACATCAACGGGAATGCCTGTCAATAAAAATTAAGGATATATTTAGTAGCTGCAAAAAACTTGGTCAGAATCTTCATTTTTTATGGTTTATGCATTTGATTTTTCTACTTTTTCCAATCCGTATGGATGTAAAATTATAAACCTATGGTCTCAGGATACCATGTTCACAGTTGCTATTGACTTATTTTTCTAAATAGGGATCAACACATAAATAAAAAATGAGTTCCATTGTACTTTATAGCGTTATTTATTCAGAAATATTTCTCTCTTAAATTGTAGAAATTCTGGGAAAATACATTTACCTTAAATTTTTTTTTAATTAGGCTGATGCGTTTACTTTAAGAGATTGTAAATTATTCTTTAAAAAACATCATTTTTAAAATATGGTGTTTTTTTTTGCATTTTATAATCATTTTAAATTGTTACCTTAAATGGTAACGCAGAATTCAATTACAATTGCTAGATTTTGATTTTTAATTCATGAAAATGCAAAGTTAATCAGAAATATAACAGGATCATTATTAAGATTTTTGCCTGACCTGCTGGAAAATAATTTTAAAGTTCATGGAGTGAGAACTAAAGTATAATGTTGCCAATTTCTTTCTGTTTCTCTCTTTTTTTTTTACTCATTGTGAACTGCTGCTTGGGCTAACAAAGGGAAAATGTGAATTTAGCCTTTTAGCCACATAACCTCTGACTGATGAAAAACAGGTGTTGAATCAATACAGGGTAGACATGTGACAACCCAGAACACGGTGCTGCTGAAAGTAACCGCAGGTTCTGGTAATGAATAAAAACCCTGTTTTTATGACACAGTCGTATAACTTCACTTGACTAGAAGCAGCTGCAAGCTTTTCTTTTTCTTTCTTTCTTTCTTTCTTTCTTTCTTTCTTTCTTTCCTTTCTTTCCTTCTTTCTTTCTTTCTTTTCTTTCTTTCTTTCTTTCTTCTTTCTTTCTTTCTTTATTTTTCTTCTTTCTTTCTTTCTTTCTTTCTTTCCTTCCTTCCTTCCTTCCTTCACTTCTTTCTTTCTTTCTTTTTTCCGTAAAGGAAAAATAATCAAGCCTTATAATGTTAATCTGATCTACATTAATGCCTGTCCTTAACCAGCAACAAAGATGACAGTTTTCCAGAGATATGTTCATATAACTTTTCCTAACTCATCAAGAGGAAGCAAGAAAGGAAGAGAGAGAGGAAGAAAGAAAGAAAGGAAGGAAGGAAGGGAGGGAGGGAGGGAGGGAGGGAGGGAGGCAAGCTGTACCATCTTCCCACAACTTTTAGCTCAAGTACAGTTTTGGTTCTTGAAAGGAATGATAGGAGATAATGCTTTGTTGAAGAAAACATAGTCATTTTATTCACAAAGTTAACACGCTTTTAAAAACCATATGGCCATTTTTTTCAGCTAAAGAGTAGAGGGAATTTTTTTAATCAATGTAAAAACCTAATGAAGATTTAAAAAAAGAATTTAAATGTCTATCAGAGCATTCTCTATCCTCAAATGAGTATATGGCCATTCTCTTACGAAGTAGAACTTTGGTGTCTGAATGAAAGTCAGAGCCTAAATTTTAAGTTATTAAGGTTAAGAATACAAAGTACTTAGAAAACCCATCAGATCAGTTAGCCTATTAATTCACAATATATCTTTTTTTTTAAAAAAAAAACTGGGAACTATATAAGCCTATTAGAACTAATGCTTTGCTTATCTTTAAACATTTTTGGCATTAAATTGCTCTGACTTAAGCACATTACATGACAGTTAGATGTCAATTTAAAATATACTGTTTTGAATAAAACAAATAAATGATTTTAAACAGATAAAATTAGTTTTTAAACTGCAAAGAATGGAGATATTGGGGTGGAGGGAGACCAACCTTTGAAATTTGGTCTTATCCTGGGATCATAACTGACCAATAGCCTATTCAAGATATTGCTAGTGGAGTTGGCCGGTACTCGGGCAAGGTCCTCGGCTGACTGCTGCCTATACAAGAAAAAAGCAAAACAAAGCCCTGGTAAGTATTTAGAATAGCAAGCAACAGGAATGCGTGATGTTCATTGGAGAAGAGACTTCGCTTTTTGAGATAAATTTGTAGCCTGGCTTTTCCAAATAGAGGTGAAAAGTAGTAGACTTATCAGAATCCCAAAAAGTATTTGTCATAAAAAATAAAAACAAACACAAAAAGTATTTTAGCGTTTAATTTTACCAAATGCATGAAACACTGCCCTAAATACTTCATGTTACTTTCTTTAAATAAAATTAAGCAGACCTCTCACTTGTCCTGTAGCAACATGCAATCAAAATCTAGACAAGCACCAAAGAATGGCAGACAAGGAAACAAGAGCAAAAAATAGTTTTTGAATAATATATACAATATTAACCTTCCAGCTAAGCAAAGGAGTATGTGAATACTACAGGATGATATGGCCAGAGAGGGTCCAAGAATTCACAAAACAATCATGCTGACCCATAAATGATATTGTCCAAGAAACACACAAGGAATGCTCTCCGTGGAGTAAAATACATCGGGGATTGGTAAAAGCAGTTCCTCAAATATCAGACCAATTAAAAGGGGAAAATATAGAGCTCTGAGATACAGCTGCCTTTTCTTTTATATGTACATATTTGTTGTCAACTATCAAAAAGAGAAAAACTGCCATTTTTTCTATTTTAATCAACTTTGAACAATGAATCTTGACTAAACTGCTTGGGACTAAACACTTCCTTGGAAGCCAATGGAAACTGTTGTTCTTTACTGTTTGTTTGGATTCATTTACCACCTGTAAAGTCTTATCATATAATCATTTTCCCAGTCCAAAAATAATATCCATGAAAATCACAGGGAAGATTAAAACTACACTTGGTGCCTCCAGCATTGTCTATTCTGTACCGATATGGTAAAAGTGTCAATTTCTTAAACGACATTATAGGAAGCAAAAACTGTCATGTGCTTGGCTTTGTTTTAAAACCCCAGCTCTGACCTATCAGGCAATTCTTTTCTTTGTTAATTATCATACAATGTGCTGATAAGATACAACCACTACAGGTGAAATATGACAGATATTAAGAAGCATATGAAAAAATCTAAAACTACTATGAGTTGATACAGACAACCTTTTCAAGTAGCTCTCAGAAAGCATCCAAAACATTGGAGAAAAAAAATGAAAACCAATTAGTTAAACCCCCCCAAAGGTGCAGGAGATTAAGTAGATTTGTTTCTCAAATCTATCAGCTTGATATCAGCTCCCACATCCTAGCTCCAGGATTTGGGGACCAGTAATGAGATTTTTCCATTTCATTCTCCAGGATTTGGGGACCAGTAATGAGATTTTCCCATTCATTCATTTTCCATTTCATTCTCAAGACAATAAGGTTATGTGGAAAAATTAGATATTAAGATGCAAATTAGTGTCCAAACCCTCTACAAGTTTTCTCTTCCAAGGGAGGAAAACGGAATTGATGGATTACAAACTACACTTGAATTGGATCAGTTAAGGACTGCTATTATTATGTCTCGATATAAAATCCTTCACAAGTACATTTCTTCTAAGCAATAGAATGAACCAGACAACATAAAGACAATTAACAATTTCTTTTCCTTTTTGGCCACACCACAGGGCATGCAGGATCTTAGTTCTCCAACCAGGGATGGAACCTGTGCCCTCTGCTGTGGAAGTGCGGAGTCCTAACCAGTGGCCGTCAGGGAAGTCCCACGATAATTTTTGTGGGAGAGACATCTCCAGCCTGATTTTTTCTCCAGCTGTGAAGAGAGGCAGAATTTGCCACCCCATAGTAGCTCTTCAGCATAAAAGTTATTTTGAGCTAAAGGCACTTGAAAAACAGCAAAATTCAGGGAGAGGATTTCTCTAAATTCTTCTTATCTGCCTGAAGAGAGATCCTCCAGAAGGAAGTCCCTTGTCTTAAGTCGCCAAAATTAATAAATGTGTACCTTTTATCCGGTTAGCACGACTGCTGTCAGACTATTTCATAGACCCAGCTATTGAGGGTAGAGAGAGGAAAAAAAAAACCAACAAACCTTTCCTCCCCTACATCTGTAAGGTGTGTCACCCAAACTCATTGGCTAGCCCGTCTAACTCACTACCAGATTTTATCCTTCCTACAGAATCAGTCAGCCCCCCTTCATGGAATATCATAACTCCTCCGCATTGTATGAATCCAAACACAACCTATCCTTTAATACTGCCCTTCTAAAATCCTGCCCCAATCATCCTGGCTTACTGTAAAAAACACAAACTGATAAATTTACTGTTTGGCAATTATTCTGTAGCTTTTTTTTTTCATATCTGTGTGTATATTACCAACCAGATGGAATGTACCGAGTGATTCCTGAGGGAATCATGCCCTACACTCGTACGGCATCGAATACACGTTGCCCCAGGCAGTCTCCCGCGTGCCTGCTCTTCTAGGTTGGTTTCAGCCTCAGGATGCCCGCGGGTGCTATAGTGGTAGCAGCTTCACTCAACATTTCCAGATGAGCATTTGCTCCTGACATGTCCTCTTAGGAAAAAGGACTCATTGCCCGCAGAAGCTTTCCAGCATTAGCCATTCCTGAACCAACCATTAGCAAAGAGGAAGAAGCCATCATAATTGGCTCAGATCAATAATCTGATAGGGCTTCCCAGGTGGCGCAGTGGTTGAGAGTCCGCCTGCCGATGCAGGGGACGCGGGTTCGTGCCCCGGTCCGGGAGGATCCCACATGCCGCGGAGCGGCTGGGCCCGTGAGCCATGGCCGCTGAGCCTGCGCGTCCGGAGCCTGTGCTCCGCAACGGGAGAGGCCACAACAGTGAGAGGCCCGCGTACGGAGGGGGGGAAAAAAAATCTGATAGAGAATGGGTACTGGATAATCAACCACCATATCCATTACCTGATTGCACTTGATCATCACAAAGACTCACTTGGTCACAGAGGAGAGACATGAACCACAGAGAATGGTTTTTCAGTAGAGAAAGAGAAAAAACAGATGGGTAGAGAGTCAGCAGTAGGTGATTAAATGGAGCCATAGGGTACATGGTATATGGAAACCAGGTCACAGCAAGGTTCAGAGATCTTCTAAAGTAGTAGAGTCAAGAGTGAAACCTGGTAACCCCCATTCCTAGTCGTCATTTCACAAGCCTGCCGTAATGGAAGTGAAATATTATCTATCTTCTTATTACCACCCATCCATGCATTGATTTAGGTGATAAGATAGATAGGTAGATAGATATTACATTAGTCTTACCAATTTTTAAAATCACTAGTCCTGGAAAATCTGAAGTTGCCCTTTCTACAACTTGCCAGGGTCACTCTTCCCTCTAGCCATCTCCAAATGCTTAGATTTCTCTCTACAATTAAATTTTAAAAATCTTATTTGCCAGTAACAGCAAAAGCACAGTGTTGGTTGACAAAAATCTCTTGAAATTAAAACAAAGGAGTATATCAAATATGTTATAGCTCTTTTTCTTTATTCTCATTTGTGTCAATACATATTTTCATGTCTCTGCTGCAGGTAACCTGGTATGAGTCTTTAATCAACACTTCACCTTTCTTTATATTAGAAATTCAAAGACATTTTAAAATTTAAGTGAAATCTCAGGTAATTTATATTCACATGGATGAATTCAGGGATTTTTTTCCTACCTAAATAAAAAAATAGAAATCATTCCTTTTCAGCTTGGTCAATCCTAAAATAACATTAAAGTCATCTCCACACATTAAAATATATTTTAAAAGCCTAGATAGCTGCATCACTTTCTTCAAGACAGCTGAAACAATTTGCATATAACACATTTTCCTGTGTTTGCACTTTACTATACATAACCTTATAATTTGGAAAGTGGCTAGTATTTATACAAAATAACCAGGAATAAGAAGAGTTAAATGATTTTAATTAGGTTCCATGCTCAATGTCTATTTCGTTATTAGAGATTTCACATTCTGAATCTCAGTCCAATGTTTTATCCATCTGATGAGGCCATTGTGTTTTCTTTCAATAAATCTATCAACGATTATGATATTATTACACAAGAGGATTGATTTCATGGAAATATGATATTAATTTAAGACAATAACTGAGTCTACTCAGGCAAAGTCATCAAATGACTAAAGAAAATAACGTCTTTTATATCAAAAGCCTTTTTACAGCCTGCCTCTTTTGTTCACTCACCTAAACTTGAACTGATGTCATGACTAATATGCTAAGGAATGGACCAGGCTGTATAGCTGGATGATGTAATGTTTTCCAGCACTAAACGAAAAATCCAGAAATGTCTTTCCAAAGAGGGAAGCTCAGTTTTCCATTAACTGCAGAATGTACTTATTTTCCATGACCCTTTAGCGACCACACAGCACTGCTGCATTTCAAAGCTGGTGTGCGCGAGCATATTGGCTTCACATCCTCCCTTAAACCAGGAATCTGAGTCAAAGGACCGTTTTGTTTTTCCAGTTATAAATGCAGCAAGCATGGTCACGGGTCTTCTCAGACCTGAGTGTGGCAGGGACCTAGCCAGGCCATCTCAAGGAGGGAGCTGCAGAGCTTTCTGCTGGATGTGAACTAAAGCAAGCACCGGGGAGGAAGAAAAGAGCAAGGCGTGCAAAATGTGTACATTGTATTATTTCTCCTCTTTACTCTAGGGCAGTGATTCTTTACCTCTTTTTTAGCACTACAGATACCGCTGAGAATATGATGAAAGCTATGTGCTTCCCTTAGGAAATGGCCACAAAGTTTGCAATGCTGAGGGTTCCCGGATCTGCCCCACAGGTTAAGAAACCCTCCTTCGTGGAAAACAAATGCTGTTATCCTCACCTAAAGTGAGATAAGGGAAGATTTTTTTTTTTTTTTTAAGATGATGGGACTTTGTCAAAAAGACACAGGAGCCAACTGAAAGAGCTCCCTATGGCCAAATCTAGGATGACTTGAGCAATAAAATAAAATTGTTCCGGCTTATAATCCAAAGTATAAAATAAAAACGCATGAGTCCATGAAG